AACATTCTGAACAGGAAATTATAAAACCAACTCCATTTATAATAGTATCAAAAAGAACAAAATATTTAGAAATTAACCTAACCAAGGAGGTGAGAGACTTGTACAATGAAAACCACAAAACATTGCTGAAAGAAATTAAAGATATAAATGAATGGAAATATATCCTATGTACACTGATTAGAAGTCTTGATAAGATGAAGACAGACACATAGCCCAATGGAATGGCATAAAGAGCCTAGAGATAAAACCTCACATATGTGGTCAAATGATCTTTAACAAGGATGCCAAGACCATTCAATAGTGAAAGGACAGTCTTTTCAACAAATGGTGCTAAGAAAACCAGATAATCATATGCAAAAGAATGAAGTTGAATCTTTACTTAACACAATATAATAATTAACCAAAAATAGATCAAAGACCTAATTACAAGACCTAAAACTATAAAATTCCTAGAAGAAAATATGAGGCAAAATTTCACATTAGATAATGATATGAACATATTTAATACCACTGAACTATACATGTAAAAAAATGATTAAGATGGTAAATTTTGTTATCCATATTTTACAATTTTTCTAAATAGCAAAAATTACATATGTGGGTGATGAAATTCTAAAGAGTTTTACTTTCTATGTGTCTGTCTTCAACTTATCAAGACTTCTAATCAATATACATGGGATATATTTCCATTCATTTATGTCTTTAATTTCAGCAATGTTTTGTGGTTTTCATTGTAAAAAATAATTGCAAATCATATATCTGACACATGGTTAATATCCAAAATCTATAAAGAACTCAAAGAATTCAATAACAAAACCACAAGAAATCCAATTAAAACTCCAATTAAAAAGTACTCTAATTAAAAATACAATTAAAAGTCAAAAAATCCAACAAAAGGCCAATTTCCAAAATTATTCAAGCAGCCAGCAGGTACATGAAAAGATGGTTAACATCACTAATCATTAGGGAAATGCAAATCAAAACCACAATGAGATACCACTTCACATCTATTAAAATGGCTCTGATCACAAAGATAAAAACAGGTGTCAGCATGGTTGTGGAAAATAGGGAATGTTATGCACTGTTGATGGGAATATAAGTTGGTGTAGCCACTGTGGAAAACAGTATGGAGTTTCCTTTAAAAACTAAACATGGAAAAAAAAAACTAAACATGGAATTATCATATGATCCAGTAATTCCACTTCTGAGAATTAAAATCCCAGGAAACAAAAGCTTTGTCAAAGAAATATCTGCACCCCCAAGTTCATTAGAGCATTATTTACAATAGCAGCCAAGATATGGAAATAACCCAAACACCCATCAATGGATGAACAGATAAAAAAAAAAAAAAACATGGCATAAAGACACAACAGAATACTATTCACCCATAAGAAAGAAAACCCTGCCATTTGTGACATGAGTGAGCCTTGAGGACATTGTGCTAAGTAAAATCAGTCAGAGAAAGCCTGTATGTCACACATATATGTGGAATCTAAAAACAAATTCAGGGACACCCAGGTGGCTCAGTGGTTGAGCATCTGCCTTTGCTCAAGGTGTGAACCCAGGTCCAGGATCAAGTCCCACATCGGGATCCCTGTAGGGAGCGGGCTTCTCCCCGCTGTGTCTCTACCTCTCTCTCTCTCATAAATAGACAAATAAAAAATATTTACAAAAAAACAAATTCATAGAAAAAGATCAGATTTGTGGTTGCCAGAAGTGGGCGTGAGAGGCGGGAGTAGGAAGGCAGTCAGAAGGCACCACCTTTCAGTTCTAAATACAAACGGGAGATGTAACATCCAACATGATGACTAAAGTTAACACACTAAGAGTAGATTCTAAAAGTTCTCATCACAAGAAATAAAACATATGTACCTTTTTTGGTGTATCTATAGCTGATGGGGTAATCATTTATAATACATGTAAGTGAAATCGTGATGCTGTACACCTTAAACTTACAGTTCTGTATGTCAATTAACTCTCAATAAAACTGAAAGGAAATAACAACTCCAAAGAAAACCAAGGCAGTGGCACTATAAAGGCAGGACAGTGGAATCCTTATGAAGGAGGGACACAGGAAGTCTAAGGGAACGCTGGGATGCTGGCCATGCTCTATTCCTTGACTTGGGTGCCAGTTACACCATCACTTTGAGAGCATTCATTGAGCTGTACATTTTTGTGTTTTGTATTTTATTTTGCTTCATCTTATTTTTTTATGTTTAAAATTTTTTAGACTAATCGAATGGAAAAGCCAGTTAAATCCACATTATAATTTACATGTCTCTCTCAATAATTGATAGAAGTAGACAAAATCAGTATGGTTAGAACCTGAACATCACTGTCAACCAATTTGGTATTTCTAGAACACTCCACTCAACTGCTGAATACACATTCTTTTCAAATACACACAGAGGGGACAGCCCCAGTGGGCCAGCGGTTTAGCACCGCCTTCAGCCCAGGGAGTGATCCTGGAGACCCCGGATTGAGTCCCATGCGGATTGAGTCCCCATGCGTCCCACGTTGGGTTCCCTGCAGGGAGCCTGCTTCTCCCTCTACCTGTGTCTCTGCCTCTCTCTGTCTCTCATGAATGAATGAATGAATGAATGAATGAATAAATAAATCTTTAAAAAAATACACACGGAGCATCCACTAAAACAGACTATATACTGGGTCTAAGACAAGTCCCAAATAAATTCTTTAAAATAAAAAAAGAATATGTTCTCTTAACTACAACCAAATTAAATTATAAACCAGTAACATACCTGGAAAATCCTCAAACATTTTAAAATTAAACATACATCTAAGTAATCAATGGGTCGAAGAAGAAATCGCAAGAAAATAAAGTATTTTGAACTGGGCCAGGCCATGTTTGGGAGGGGCAGGAGGGGGTGGAGATGGGGTCGGAGGTAGAAGTAGGAAGTGGGGAAAAGCAGGGAGGAGAGGCAGGAGAGGTGAGGAGGTGGTAAGGGAGAAGGTGGTGAAGGCAGTAGCAGTGCAGGCAGGCGGGGGGAAAGGGGGAGACTAGGGAAGATGGGGTGGTGGACTGGGATTAAGGAGGCAGTCCAGAGGTGGATGGTATTTTGAACTTTATTAAAACAAAAACACAACATATCAAAATTTGTGAGATGCAATTAAAGCTATACTTGGAAGGAAATTTATGGAATTATATCAGAAAAGATCTAAAATCAGTTATTTAAGCTCCCACCTTAAAAAGCTAGAGGATTTAAGTTAAACCCAAAGTTAGTATAAGGAAAAACATAATAAAGGTAAGAAATCAATTAAATTTAAAAAAAGACAATCAATAGTGAAAACCAATGAAATCAAAGGTTTATTATAAAATATAACACATCATATTAGTGCACATACACAAAAGCACAGCATAATGATTTACCAGAATGAATACCTAGTAAGTACCACTTGATCAAGAAATAGGGGACACCTGAGTGGCTCGGTGGTTGAGTGCCTGCCTTCGGTTGAGTGCCTGCCTTCGGTTCAGGACTTGATCCTGGGATCAAGTCCTGCATCGGGATCCCCATAGGGAGCCTGCTTCTCCCTCTGCCTGTGTCTCTCTGCCTCTCTCTGTGTGTCTCTCATGAATAAATAAATAAATCTTAAAAAAGAAAGGAAAGAAAAGAGAAAAGAAAGAAAAAGAAAGGAAAAAGAAAAAAAAGAAAAAAGAAAGAAAGAAAAGAAAAGAAAAGAAAAGAAAAGAAAAGAAAAGAAAAGAAAAAAGAAAGAAGAAAAGAAAAGAAAAGAAAAGAAAATAGGACCAGGGCACCTGGGTGGCTCAGTCAGTCCAGTGTCCAACTTGATTTTGGCTCAGGTCATGATCTCAGAGCCAGGAGATCAAGCCCTGTGTCAGGCTCTGCCCTGAGTGTGAAACCTACTCGATTCTTGCTCACTCTCTCCCTCTGACCCTCCCCACCCACTTGAGTGCTCACTCTCTCTCAAGAAAGAAAGAAAGAAAGAAAGAAAGAAAGAAAGAAAGAAAGAAAGAAAGAAAGAAAGAGAGAAAGAAGGAAAGAAAGAAAGAAAGAAAGAAAGAAAGAAAGAAAGAAAGAAAGAAAGAAAGAAAGAAACAAGAAATAGGACAACCAGCACGCAGAGTCCCCTTTCACACTGTGTCCCTTCCCAATTACTAACCTCTCCATACCCCAAAGTCTTCACTACCTTTTTGCAAACGTCCTTTCAGTATAATTTTATCACCTAAAAATGCATCTTTAGTCTAGAATTGGGTTTTACCTATTTTTTTGACTTATATGATAATACAGTATATATTAGATGTATTTGTTGGCTGTTCATATACTTTTCTCTGCTCAAATCTTTTTAACTAGTTTGCCTTTGAAATGATCAATAAAATCATTAACTCCAAGCCAAACTGACCAAGATAAAGCGAAGAGACACAAATTACCAGTATCAGCACAGAAAGAATGATCATAACTATAAATTTTGGAACACTGAAAGAATACAGAAATATTATGAACAACCTAGTCACAGAACAACCTAATTTGACAACCTAGTCTTAGCAGTGACTAGATCAGGCAGGTGTACAAGAATACTCCAAAATAAAAACATCTGGGTCAGCCCGGGTGGCTCAGCAGTTTAGCACTGCCTTCAGCCCAGGGTGTGATCCTGGAGACCTGGGATCAAGTCCCACATCGGCTCCCTGCATGGAGCCTGCTTCTCCCTCTGCCTGTGTCTCTGTCTCTCTCTGTCTCTTTCTCTCTGTGTGTCTCTCATAAATAAATAAAATCTTAAAAAAAAATAAAAACATCTGACATTTCTTACTTTCAAAAATCTTCAAACCTTAGACCGTTATCCCCACATCAATGGGAAGAGAGGACTACGTATCAATTTAGCTCAAAAATAACTGTAAGTGCTTATAACACATGCTACACACTATAAATGCAAAATAAGAACATCGCCTCTTCTTGTAGTCATACAATCTTCATTTGGTTTAGTGACTCCTGGGGAAACAAACATGAATAAGAGACAATACCAGATTTATTAAAGATCAAAATGCTATCATTTATTGGAGAAGGAAACAAAAAGCAAAACAAGTAAAATTAAGAACAGTTTTATGATGTCTGGTAGAAAAAAACAGCTTAATTACCAGCAAAATTCTTTCTTTTCAATATGCATCAGTAAAAAGAAAACATTTGTTGTATGAAAGAGAATCTCCAGGTAGCAAAAGTAGCACATAAGAATATATTTTGAGATATAAAAAACTCAGTTATGCAATCACCAGCATTCAAAATTAGTTGAGTATCTTTATACAATTACAAAAATTGATTCATGTTTTAACAGTGTTTTAAAAGCTCATCTTATGAGAACAGGCACAATGTTCCGAAGGCATGTAAATTCTCCATGGGCTTTTGAACATCTTTATCCCCAACTTCACAATCAGAATTTACAAAAGCAGCAAAAGGAGAGGGTTGAGAGGATTTTTAATTTTTCCTTTCCTTGTTCAAGGTGGCTAAGTCAAGCAAACATAGTGAAAAAGGCAAAATAAACACTTCTCATAGCAGAAAGACCACAAGATTGAATGTAAACTAGGTTTCTTCTTTAGGATATTTTACAAACACATGATTAGCTTGTACTTAGAATAAGGCTCATTACCTGCACTATGGAAAGTTCAACACACAGAGAACATTCTGCCCACATACCAGTCTTAATTTGGTCTTGAAGGATACCTCACAAGGTTGTTAAGCCCAGGCAGCCCATTTTTATCAGGGAATGTTTGTCCGTGACGTATTATTGAGTTTTTTCATACTAACTATAGTAACATTACCTTGTTGTAAACACACACACCAGCATTAGGTGTTTATTACAAAGCTGTGGATTGACTTTTCATTTCAAATAGCCATGTCTGGTCCACAGGAGGACGATACTGCACCCGTCTGGTGAACTCAGTCTTCTCTGCTTTCAGCTCATCCCATCCCACAGAAAAGGTTTTGTGCATTTCTAAGCCCATTATCAGCCCATCAGCTCCTGCTAGGAAGAATGGAATTTGGGGTCAACGTGCATTAACAAAGGCTCTGGGGCTCCCGTGTGCCTCACTGAGCTCCACTCACAAGCTCTAGTGTGAGATCTCTGCCCAGGCTTCGTGAGGCCTTTCTGTGCCACAGAACAACCCACAACACAGCTTAAGTGTCCCAGGGACTCAAGAGGGAAGAGTTGGAAACAGACCAAAGTAGAACTAAATGGCCTATCTTGAGGGAATTGGGATCGAATTAACTGCACCACACTTACACTACAAATGCCCAAGATCTCAGAATTTCATATAAATTGTAAACTATGAATCAGGAGGTACTATAAAGTCACATGATTTAACCTCCCATCTGACTTTATAAATAAGAATTTCCAAAAAATCAAAAAATTCTAAATTCTTTTAATATCCTATCAAGACTTTCAATAGAAATCTGTAGTTAACTTCAGTCATAGGTCTATGAACTTCTTAAAAACTGCTATCTGCAAAAAAAACTACAGTACCTCTTAAAACATCCCCCCAAAATCTTAAGTTTTAAAATAAACTATGCCAAAAACTGAGTAAACACAGAATTTTTTCATTTATTTCCTGAAAATGAGGGTCAAATTTTTAACCAGTTTGCAATCCTGCAGCTGACTTGAGTCAGATGTCTGAGGGAAGAGAAGGCAGGGCAGGCTGGTGCGGGCAGGCCACCCCACAGAGAAGGGAATGCACAGCCATGGGCTGAGTTCAGTTTCCCAATTCACTCACCCATGTGTCACACCCGCCATACCTGTCACTCTCGAGAACTGTCAAAAGCAGAAGCAGCCAAACCAGTATCTCCCACACCCTTTTTTTCAAGGTATGCCCCACTTCTTAATCATCTTTTCTAATGGAAGTATCCAAAAGTCATTTATTTAGATTCATTTCATGAATGTATTTGTTCATGAACGAGCAAACTTTGATTAGGGTGGGAGGGAGATGCAGTCAGGGGATAATCCCCAAAGTCCCTAACAAGAAAGATGGAAAGAAGTTCTGAGCACTGAGATCACGAACCCAGTGGAAATGCTCCATGGGGAATGGTATCCCACCTTCCCAGGGAACCTCTGCCCTGGGCAGACGCAGCCAGGGGCACAGCCACACACAGGATCTGGAAGCCAGAGTTGCCCACAAGCATGACTGGCAGAAGAGTAAATTGCTAGGTAATGAAATGGGTGGGAGAGAGCCACACAGCAAGCTCTGAGGGCCCAGAGAAGGCTGTCTGGCTGTGGAGATTAGCACGGCCACAAAACAGTGCCCACAGAGGGAAGAGTGCTCAGGGCACTGCTCACATGCAGTTGGAGGTACCACCTCACCTCTAGGGAGCACACTTTGCCATGCAAGGGTCATCTCAATGATTCCTTTCATGCCAAAAATGCAATGACCTCTCCTTCCCTCAGCAGTAAAGAGGCAGGATGGCAGGCAGGGGTAAGGTGGGAGGGAGGCAGGAAACAGAAACCACTGGCGGCCTGCAAGCCAGAGGATCTGAACCCTAATTCCCCACTCTCACCCAGGAGGGTTCTTGCAACAGCTCTGTTGCCTGGGAACAGCTTTCTACAGATTTCACATGGATTTCTCCCTCCCACTTTGCACCAGACAAAAACAAGTGTAGGGAAAACCAAAGGGTGAGGTGGCAGGAGGGAGATGCAGGAGTCCAGAAGACCCTGAATGAATGGCAGGACCATCCAAAGCTGCCCAGTGTTCTGACTGGAGCCGTCTGTGCAAACTGGCCACAGGCCTCACATTCGGGCAAAGCAGGCACTTTAACATGAGAACCACCGCCCTCTACTGGTGAGATCTGGAGAGACCCCCTACCCTCTGCCTCTTCCCTGTCTTCTGTAAGGGAAACAAGACCACCAGCCTGCAAAGTCACGGTGGATATTAAATGAAACCATGCCTGGCAACTCTACCGTGCTGGACACATAATGCTAGATACGTATTTCTTAGATAAATTAATGATCAGATACATCCACCTATTACCTTCAAAGGTCATCGATTACTCTGGGACTAAGTATTAATACCTTCCTTTTACTGAGACGTCATCCAGGTACACTGGGCTCCAGGCTAAGCACCTGACATACACCCACTGACGGACAATGATCCAGCAGGAACTGTTATCTCTGTTATTTTTAAACTGAGAAGCCAGAGCTTATGTGACTGAGCCACAGTTCACACCCAGACCTGTGTGCAGTCGAAGCCCACATCCACTAACTACCACAACCCTGGTGACATCTCAAAAGGCATTTTGACCTCATGGCCCACAAAGTCAAGTTCAGACACTGAAAAGAGCCATCAGCCTTCTGGTTACTCAGGCTGGCTGGAGTTCATAGAGACAGGCCAACCTCACATCAGTTCTTAAAAGAAAGAGAACAATGGACACTCCTGAACTCCTTTGGGTCCCTTCCTAGAGTGCTTCCAAGATCTGAGTTATCTCCTAGAGGCGCGTCAGATGTGAAAAAACTCCACAAAACCAGACGGTAGCACATAATTTCCCTTCCTGGCTGAAAGCAGGTTAGGAACCTTGGGATAAGACCAGATGCCCTCCAGAGCCTAGAGAGGACCTGGTAAGAGCCTGGCTGCTCACTCTACCCTATCGGACCTGCTCACACCTCCTCAGTTCAGAGGAAAAGGCTAGCCCATCTGAGGTCTCACCTGCAACAGGATAAAGAATTTAGCAACTGGCCACAAGCAAGGAGACAAGTGGGCCACATAGCCTTTGGTTTGGAAGTTCCAAAGCAAGCACCCAAGTAGACGAGCTAGACCTGGGTAAAGAACAGAAAAGCAACCCCAAAGAGACTTCATTGGCAGGCTTGCTTTAGAGGCTCTGCAATACCAAGAACTTTAGCAATCTAGATGGGGCACTTACGACAGGCAGCAAGGAAGAGCTAAAAGGGCACACAAATGAACAATGGAGATCCCACAGATGCAGCAGGAAGCCTCCCCAAAGGGCAAATGGGCAGAAGACAGCACAATGACATAAAGAGACTGGGACCAAGGAAGGCACAAGCTGGGCTAATGAGAACAGGTGAAATAGAGGACAGGCCTCCAGAGCTGCCCCTGGAAACACGGGGCCAGAGAGGAGACTGAAGCCAGGGAGCCCAGGCTCTCAGCCCAGCTCTGCCACCACTGTCGCTTTGGGGGAGCCTTCTAACCCCTCTGGGCCTGATTTCCATGACTGCCCAGTGAGATGACCATCAGCGCTTCATCCCAAGGTTCTTGTGAGGACTAGATGGGGTCCTGGGCACCAAGCAGCATGTGTGGTTAGACAGGGGCTGCAAGGGAACCACGCTACTGTCCATTGCCCCCTGCCCCAGTGTTTGTGGCTCGGGCACTGTTTCCAGGCCACTGGACAGGCATGCCTCCTACCTGTGGGCCCTGTCTTCCCACCCACTCTTCCCTGGCCCCATTCCAGAGATCGGAAAATAGAATCAGTTTAAAAGCAACATTTATAAATAATGAAAACAAGATACAGTGGAAATCAGCAAGATTTTCAGCTCCCGTGAGGTCTTGTGCAAGAGCAAACAGTGTCTGTTCTGTCCATGCATTGTCCCCAATCCAGTTCCAGGAGGTCATGAGAAAAGATATGTGAAGGGGGCGACAGAAAGAAAACCTCAAGAGAAAAAGAGTGTGCACAAAACACGTGTCCTGAAGAGGACACATTCCACCATCAGGTGTAGAATCCAAAGAACGAAGCCAACACCAGTTCAGATTTTAAAACACATTATCCTGTGCTATGTCACTCCATGACCAGGCTGTCCATGGGCTTGCGTGCAGCTGTGAGGGGAGCAGAATCACGCACTCCCAGACTCCAGAGTAGAAGCACGTCCGTCCATGCTGGGTGAGGCGGGGTAGTGCTCTCCATGCTGAGGGCAAGTCCACAAAGCCCCTGATGATCCCAAAACTCTGTCCCTTGTTGCTGTACCCCTGCCACCTCTGACGGGGCTGCCTGTCATCACCTGGGAAGCACTGGCTCCCAAGGCTGATCTGTGGCTGCTCATTGAGGGTTTTATTTAGGAGATTTCAGTGGAATACCATCTAAAGAGGAAACGGGTGTGTAACAAATATTCTACTCCATAAGATACAGAACCCCTCTCATACCGTGCTACAGACATCTGGGTTTGGGAACACAACACTGCCTCTGAAAGCAATCCTCAAATGTTCAGATCACAAGCAACACATTGCTGCAAGAGAAAAGGCACGTGTCTGTAAGACAGAGGTTTAGAAGTTATTTACAGAACTGTCCACCAGCTTCCTTCCACAGCGCCTTCCAAAGTTTTGCCCGTGTGTTATGCAAGACATACAGCAAAACACTTCTTCACAGCATCCCTAGGAGAAAAAAAATATAAAGATCAATGGGAGACCATCACGCCAAAGGCCCCTATAAGTGGTAAAGACGCACCTGCAGATTTCCTGAGTGCCCAGAGTAGCACCTAGCAGAGCAGAAAGCACCTAGACTATGGGGTCGACCTACCTGGCATCAAACACCAACTTCAACATCGGTAGTAGTATTGTGGGCAAGTCATTTGTCTTACTGAGTTCCAAATTCCACATCTGTATAAGGGGATATCCCACTTACCCTAAAGACCAGTCGCAGGAACTAATACAGTGAATAGAGTAAGTATTAAATAACTGATAGCTACTCACGATAACCAAAAGGAAAGACCAGAAGAATGTAAAGATTATCAGAAACCAAGAATGTAGGATTATGCACCCTGAGGTCAACCAGAACCACCAGATGCACTGGACACATTAGATCCAACAGTTACTTGGGCCTTTCTTTCAGCAAACAGCAGAGACTTACTAAGTGACGGCTTTCCGGAGTTCCTGAGCACAATGACTACAATGACTGAGCACTTGTTACCTTGCTGCGTCAGGCCTATCCCAGGAGCATACTCCTCAAGATGCAAGGAAAAAGTGTGTGCTCAATGAATTACTGTCCTATTCAGGCAAGCATGCCCATCTCCACACCACACATGGCTACGTGCTAGGGCTTCCCACCCCTGCTCTGTCCCTCTGCTCTCAGCTGTGCTTACAGGAAGGATATGGAAGTCACGGAGGGAGGGAGAGGTGAGTGAATGCATTTACATGGGCGGACACAGTGCTTTAATAGTAAGATAATTCTAGAGCACCATTTCTTAGGATTAACTCTATACTGTAGTCCCAGGAGATACTCTGCACAAGAAAGGGTTTTACAGCCAAATAAGATCCCTCGTGGCAGCTAACAACACACATATTAAAGGACCTGGAAATTTGCGTAACAAGGAACCCATGTAATTTTGCTTAACCCTTTCCCAAGCTTATTTGACCATGGAACCCTGCTCTACTGTGTAACCACTATTCCTTGGAACACTGTGGAAAGGCTACTCCAGGGGAAAGTACAAACAGAACTGCAGGGCCTACCTCTGGGATTCCTGCCCCACTACTTCAGCACATAAAACTCACTGCTACAGCAACCTTCTATCTCTTGGTCCATCACTTGTACGTAAGCTCTGTAAATGCCAACCCAGGTCAAGTCTGCAGTCCTGAAGGATAGCGCCAAGCAGGCCCAGCTTCATGGGTCCAGAGCCACGTGCAATTTCACTGGGTCCTGTACTTCAAAGGTTCCACACCTGGTTTAATGCTCTGTGGTTGCCATCTTGAAATTCTCAATCATTTTTTAATAAGGAGCCCACATTTACGTTTTGCACTGCGCCCTGAAAATTATGGAACTGGTCCGTGATTCAAATTGTTAGCAAACAGATAAATAGATCACTGGATGCTCAGGGATGATAGGTTCTGGCTTATTTCCCAAGACAGCACCACTGTATTCTTCTCAGACAAGCCACCATCCTCCCAAACTGGCTGGGTCAGCAGAGTAGTTCCTAACTGCTACCCACCCTAGAATCCATTCCCAAGCCACATGGCTGCCTTTATGCTGATGGGCTTGTGAACTTCTCATCTGATACTCCCCAGCATCTTCAAATCACTGTCAGAAGCAGAGTCGGAATGCATTAGAAGCAAGCCTGCTCTTTCTCCTCCCTTGCTCCCATGCAATTTCTCACCTTTTCAACCCAGCTAAAGAAAAGCTGTTTTTTAGCTACCAGGTAATGACAGAGATGTATGGAAATTAAACTGCTGCATGAGAGCAGAGTCAGGCAAAGATCACACGGCCAGTTCTGAGAGGCCAGCCCATCACTGAAAGTGACAATTAAAGGAGGTGTGGAGGCTGGAAGGGGCCTCTGGCAATGACCTGGCCCAGCCCACTCTGCTTATCCCTGAGTCCTCCCAGGCCACAAGGGTCCAAGGAGCTGCTCAAGGTCACACTGCTAATTAGGAAACTCTGGTCCTCTGAACCCTGGCTCTGACTTTCCCTTCATGAACTCTGCTGAAATATTCTCATCAATGGGGGTACTGCAAGAAAATGAGCTCAGATCTCTCCTTCCTCAGTGATACCAAAGTGACATTCACTTTTGAGACGATCTCCACAAAGCTACAAGTTCAAAGAGTGATTATGTGAACATACGCACTACCTATCACAGGAGAACATACACGCAACCAGAACTGGTGGTCCTGCGCCAATGCCCATCGTCCCTGTACCACAGAGGAGGGATGGAGGGGACCCTCAGTTTACTAGGCTGTAAACAGGAATACAACATTTACCTCTTTGTCTGAAAGAATTTTAGTAATGATAAAATAGTATGTGTTCTCTGAAAACACTCAAAACAAAAGGCCCTTTGCAAATATACTGTCATCCCCCAGTGACAGAAGTCACAGTCCTAAATACAGTTAGTCTTACCTTGCATAGGGTATGAAGGAAAGGCTGTACCTGCAATGAAAACACAGAAGAGACGAAATCAAATGGAGGGAGTCACCAGAAGGAATGACCCCTGAGCTGTGAGGGCACCTGCCCTGATTGGCCCAGACTCTGTCCCTCTCCTCAGCGTGCAGGATGCATGCACACATATGCACACTCGCACACACATGTGAACACACATGCCCTGCTATGCATGCAAGCGGGGGGGGGGGGTCATCGGTGGCCAGAGAAGAGCAAAAGGCCCATGTGGAGGCAACCCTGTGACCTCAGCTTCACACAGGGCCACCCCACCAGCTTTAACTAAATGAGCCAGCAGATCCCACACATCTGGAAGGCACAGAGCCCTACTCTGAAACTACCAAATAAAACCCTGATCAGTTAATATTCTAATATTTCACAAATCCTCAACAGAATATAACGTCTATCTGACTGGGATAATTTTCTGTTCTCTCCTATAAATTTTAAAAGAAGAGAGAACAGAAAGGAAAAACCCTACTACCAACTACACTATGGATAAAAATATTAGCTATGATCCTTCAAGAACTGAAGCCCAAAGATATCTTGGTGATCCCTAGTAGCTCAACACCCTCACCCAAAGAAGGCCCACGAGGGAGGACACCACAACCCTAAAGGACCAGGCATGATGTGCCAGGCAGGTAGTAAGTTGGTTGGCCCTGAGAAAAACACAAAACAGTGTTGGAGGGGATACTGCCATTTGCTCAAGCCCATATAAATGCTAAACCTCTGAAAACTAGGTTCAAATTTAGTCTATAAGCATGAAAAGGCATGTACATGTGGGTACCAATTGCATCCCCCCGAAAAAAACAAAATATAAATATAAGCCATCAAACTAGGCCTTTTGGTACCTACTCCCAAAACATGTGTGTCATTAAAAGCAGGCCAGTCTTTCTTCTTATACTCCCCACACACAGAACCTCATTTACTTGTGAGCACAGTACATTCCAAAAAGCATTTGAGAAGTATCTTTATCCAAAAGTCCAAAATTACTAAAAGGGAGGGTGGGTGCTCAGCTTGTAGTCCAAAGACCCATTTCTGGGTCTTTTCTGTACCACCAAACAGGGATACAGTTGATCTTTGGAAGCTTTAAAACTTCCAGTCCTCTCTCCTTTCCACTAGAGAAAACATTTTTTTTCTGAAGCAGCACACCTCTATGGAAACTGTTCAGGTCTCATCCTCTGATAAACTCTGGAAGGATTATAGCAATGTCTCAGAAGCCATCAATTCTGGGTCTGCCAGCACTGCTCTCACTCTGATGTTGGACCAGTTTAGAAGGAACAGGAACCTACAACCCCACCCCTGGCCCCCAGGAACAAGGTCTCCAGCACCCCTTTCACTACACATGGCTCCTGAGCTACAACTCCCTCCCTGGTCTTGCCAACGGCCTCCAGCGCACACACGACCCTACCACTTGCCTTTCGTCATTCACCATCCCTCATCTCCTGCTGACAAATACCTCTTTGTGCATCTGCTAAATGATCCATTCCATCACAAATGTAACTCATCGCTTCTTACCACTCGCCTTCCTCCTATCTGACTCACAAGCCTTGTTCTACTAGCCCCTGTAGTACTTCATCATCTTTGTTCCTACCAGACAGAAGTGACTGAATAACAGTTATAATACCTCAAAATCACCCATGAGCTCTGCTAAAAACTACTGCAGCAGGCAAACAGCCTCCCCTGCCCACCTAAGACCACTAATGCCATCTATCGGCACTGGGCTGAGTCAACAGGATTTCACTCTGGAGTCTGATTTCACCGGCATCATTGAGAATTCTTAAATTGAAAAGTTTCTATGCTTTTCTAGCCTCCTACCCTACCCACACCATGTGGGATTTCATCTCCTTTGGCTGCGTTAGACAGCGACGAGGGCAGAGGGTATTTAAAACATCACTTACCACGTCAGGGCCAAGGACTGCAAGATACAGAAGATGAGCGCAAGCCCCTTGATATGCCACTGAAAGAACAACAGGTGGTTAGAGTGCAGGCTGTGATGGGAGGCATGCGCCACAAAGACTCAGGAAAATTAAAATACACACTTACCCAAAAGGCGGAACACAGGGTGAGTGCAAAACACAACTGGAGAGAGGGGAAGAACAATAATCAATACAGTGACAACATGGAGGAAAATACTCTTAAGACTTCTCCATTCTTGGAAAAATTAAAATCCTCACCCCACTGCAGTAACCAGATTCTGTAATGATCCCCACAACCAAAGGTATCCTTCCTTTCAAAGCACTGGACCCAGGTAAGCACCCATGTTTGGCAGAAGAGTTAAAAGTCCCAATGAAATGAAATCAGCCAAATAAGAACTGATGCAGAATAAAAAGCAATGAATCCTCTTTGACTTTCAAGTTTTCCCAAATTCTCTGCCCAGAAAATAAAATCACATCACTGGTCAGTCACCCTCATCGATCCATCTTTTCCTTCAAATGTACTAAAATAGGTAGAACATACACCTCTGTATTTTAACCCCCATCAAAAAACTTGTGTCTGGAGCAGAAAAGGCACGCAAGGACAAAGGGTAACATGAGACATCAGACAGTCGGTTATTTGTTTACATGTCACCTAACACCTTCTCTGAGTCCTTTCTTAGAAAGTTCTTTCTACAAGAGACTTGTCTGGACCATCCATATCCAGGGCTGGCCGAGAACAACGGCACTTGAGCTGACCGTCACACCTGTCCTCACCTCTTCTATGACGTAGCTACTCAATAAATATGTCCTAAAGATTTCCTCTGTGTCCAGTATTGTGTCCAAAGCTCCAAAAGGACATGTAATCAACAGCAAACATGGACACCGCCCTAGAGTACTTACTATTTGAACAAATGACATGGACAGAAATGAAACTAAAAATAAAAGTGCACTGATCAAGTCCCAGATGTTGCAATAAAGGTAACTGTAACGGAAGGCCAGTGAATGTGGTCTGGAATGATTTTGACAGTCACAAAGAAGACAGCAGCCCAAAGAAAAATGGGACGACACGCTGAAGGCAGGTGTTGCCCGAGCAGGGAACAGGTGTGACAGGCCATGAGGATAGCAGACCCGCATCAGAAAAATGGACAAAAACACACACAGTGGCACAGTCAGATAATGCTGAGCTCAAGAATGAGCTCCAGGAGACACAGACGCCCACTCCAGAGTGAAGCCACTCTGAAGTACTCCCTCCAAGCTTTGCCCAGGTGTGGCTTCACCTGTCACCAAGAAGACGTCCCAGCTCTCTTGCCACCACAACTGTTCGGCTACTCTGACCAGCCCTCTGGGGGTGCAGAGCTGCCAGGATACACCATCCAAAACACCAAGGGAATAATCATCAGACACAGAATTCTCCCTCTGCCACAGTGGTTACAGGCATTGGGCAGTACGTTAAGATGAAAGGATAAAGAAAAGACGTTTTTAGGTTGGAGATGAAAAAAGATTCCATAGAGCAAAAATAAAAAGTCCTATCTCACAAGTGCAGCTGAAAGGCAGGCCTTACCAGCACCATGATGGTTGCAATCAAACGCGTCGGCTCAAACATTCGCTTCAGCTGCTTCATCGGCCCCATGAGGAAGACAGTGCTAAAAGGCAAACATACACAAGCCGTTCAGACCAGACCTGCACCAGGCACGCCCCGCTGCCTCTCCATCACCCCCCAGGATCACCCACGGTGATCACAGCAGCAAGAGCAGTCGACACCTGAGAAGTCCTTACTACATGCCAACTGCTACTGTTACAGGCCTTTTGCGCTTTATTCTCATCTAATCCTTTAATAACCTGTGGCGGTGATGACAGGAATCATCATACTTACTGTGAAGAAGAAATTGAAGCCCCAAACGATCTGTTACCTACCCAGGAACCCCCAACTCCTCACGCTGGAAGTACATGGCGTCTGTTTCCAGAACCACACCCAGAACCACGTTACAGGACCCCTCTCTCTAAGAGGTGCCTGCCACCTTACCTCCTTCACAATCTACAAACCAAACCAAAAACTTGGGTAATTTTAAGATTTTATTTATTTATTCATCAGAGACACAAAGACAGAGGCAGACACATAGGCAAAGGGAGAAGCAGGCTCCCCATGGGGAGCCCAATGCGGGACTAGATCCTGGGACCCCAGGATCATGACCTGAGCCAATGGCATATGCTCAACCACTGAGCCACCCAGGTGCCTCAAGACTCAGGTAATTTTAAAAAAGAAAAACCACACCTGACAGGTTTAGGTTGCTGATACTAAAAAGTACAGCATTTCACTTTCTTTCATAGTCTCCAGAGAATAACTCTACTGATGGTATCATCTATTATTTGTTCAGTGTTTGCTAAATGCTAGATAGGACACACTTGACCTCATTTCATAGCCCAGTAACTCTGTGAGTTAGGTGTTATTACACTTATTTACTTGAGAGATGAGAAAAATGAAGCTCAGAAAGGTTAATTTACTTATCCACAGTCACAAAGCTAGGAGAGCCAGCATTCAAACCCACATCTACTGGATCCAAAGCGCCAAAAGACATCCCTAGTGATTTCCACGTGAATGGAACTGTGAGCGACCATAATAAAAGCAGACCCCCAGGCTGAACTCAAGCGTTGGGTCTCTCACGTCTCTAGATTCCTGGCAAAAGTGCCCCATGTGGCATCACCCCGGCAGTTGCCTGTAACAGCCAGCGTTTAACATGAGCTACCAGGTATTTGGTAAAAACAGAAATTTAAAAGCTAAGTCCACCTCTCTTTAAAGCGCCATTAAGTAACCTGAATTCATGGCCACACTCTTAGCTCAGGTATTTGAGCTGAGTGCACCTTTACCCAACAGTGAACAAAAAGCAAGAGCCAAGGCTGCCCATAAAAATTAAATGTAGCATATATACAAAAATATAACAGACTATAAGTAAAGCCATAAACTCCTAGACAGCATCCTGGAAATAATTGTTTGCTCCCTTTATTACTTCTGTAGGCATTGCTACCAAGAGGCGATCCTATTAGGGTTTGCTAAATAGTTCTCTGCACTAACCAACACACTCCTGTATTTATGCTCTATTTACAGACTCTACATTCAACCAACACTGTCTGCCCAAAGCAAAGCCCTCCAAAAGTTAGTATCTGAGACGGCTTTAGAGGCAAAATTAGACATCTCTGACAGCCAGCAATTTACTATCACAAGCATTCATAAAGTAAGCTTCTAGAAGGTAACTAGAGTTGTGTACTCAAACATCTGGTTAATATTTGCAGCCCAAAACAGAGCTAGGTTTGGGAACAATTACAAATAGGTAAAGCAGAGGTACAGCCCTTGTCAAGTGGCTCAGAGACTTGTAACAAAATCAGTGTAATAAAATGCTATCTGTGCTGTCACATAAATATATTGGGATATGCAGAGTCCCATAAGAAAGAAGAGGTCACTGATTCTGGGTGGGGGTGGGGAGAGGTAAGAGGAGACATTGAACAGAAATGGTGACTTCTGAGCCAAATCTTGACAAAGCAAGGATTCGCTTAACGGAGGGGACAGGATACAAAGAGGAAGATGTAATGGGGCAGCACGTGAGGCAGAGAAATTAGCCCCAGAACTGACACAAGGACGTTTGGGGGGATGCAAGAAGGTCAGCCTGGTTGGGGAGTGGGACTGGGTAAAGCCACATCTCAAAGGGCCTCTCTTGCATGCATGCACCTGCAGGGGGAATGGGTACCACTAAAGAAAGGGAGACAGGGCTACAACCAAACGGCTCTCTACAGGTCTGTAGGAAATGGCCTGGACAAGAATGAAGGAGGCAGAGAAGCTGGCAGAGGAACCCTGTAGTAGTTCAGGTGGGAAGCGATACAAGCCAGAGCGAAGAGCAGCTCAAGTGGCACCATCTCTAGGCAGCTCAGGTGCCTCCCACTCCCCAGGTCAGAGCATGACAGCCACCCCTCCCTGAGCAGTCTTTCTCCACGCCCTATTAGGTTATCAGTTCATCTATCTGTCCGCCTGCCTGGCCGCCCAGTAAGCTCCACTGCAGCAGGAACCAAACCACACTTGTCTGTGAGTGCTCTGAGCCCAGCCCAGGGTGTGATCAAGGCTTACTCACAGAGCACGTGAGCCCAACAGTCAGGGACAACAGCCATGGAGACAAAGAGGAAGGAGCCAGTAAGAGGTCAGCACCAAGCCATCATGAGTAATAACAGGGTCCTGGGCTTTGACGCCCAGGACTCGGAGGCCATTCACTGATATACAAGGGAAAGGGGAAGGAAAGGAAGGGTCACAGAGTTCAGGTTCCAGGGGGCCAAGCAGGTAGAAGTCAGGCCAGCACTTCTGGCTGGGAACAGGACTGGTGCCGTCAGCATACAAGTGTGGCTGAAGCGTGAATTGCACTTGACCTGGGATACCTGTGCACCTGCAGCATGCAAAATAGGCTGTCCACCTCCAGGGGGTACTCTGTTAGCTGCCCTGCCCTCATGAGCCAAGAGCCAGGTCTGAGATGGTCTTATCTGGACAGAATAATAATACATCACACCTGCAGCCTCTGGTGCGGTGAGCCTTTTAAAACCACCACTCAATCTCTGGCAGCTGCAGGCCAGAGTGCAGAGAGGATCATGCTGTCAAGCCGGAAGAAATCATTCAACCACTGTGTGCCACAGTTCCCTCATATATAAAAATCACAATAAATTTATCCCAGGGGATTTCAAAAATAAACTAAGATACAAAAATATCGGGGTGGGGCGCCTGGGTGGCTCAGTCAGTTAAATGTCCGAAAACTTGATTTTGGTCATGGTCTCAGGGTTGTGGGATTGAGCCCTGTGTCGGGATCCACACTAACCCCAGAGTCTGCTTGTCCCTCTCTTCTGCTCCTCCCCTATAACCCCTCATGCGCTCATGCACAATCCCTCTCTCTCCCTCTCAAAAACAAGATTTTATTTATGTATTTATTTGAAAGAGAGAGAGCACAAGCAGGGGGAGAGACAGAAGCAGAAGCAGGCTCAGTGGGAAGTCCCAATGCAGTGTTAGATCTCAGGACCCCAAAATCATGACCCAAGCCAAAGTCAGATGCTTAAACAACTGAGCCACCCAACCATCTCAAAATAAAATCTGTAAAAAATACATATATATGCTAAAATATTTCGAAGTGATAGGATATAAGATGTGATGTATGTTATTTTTGGGGGGATGTGATATATTTTAACTACTACTTTTCTCACCACATCCTTCGAACTATTAAAGCATCCTCCTGGGATACCTGGGTGGCTCAGGACATGATCCCAGGATTTGGGATCGAGTACTGTATCGGGCTCCCTGCGAGGAGCCTGCTTCTCCCTCTACCTATGTCTCTGCCTCTCTCTGTTAAGTCTATCATAAATAAATAAATCTTTAAAAAATAAAAATTAAAAAAAATAAAGCATCCTCCTTCATCTTCCTTGAGCACAATCCACACCCATTGTCCCATCTAGTGATTGGCTATGGTTAGATTAAAAATAAATAAATAAACAGTTACCTCCCAATTGATGCGATGTTACCAAAGGTATAAAACACTGCGAAGAGGTACAGTCCCTTCCTGGGCACCCAGAGCAGAAGAGTTCCCTGGAAGGTAAAGCACAGGGCGTTTGCACGGGGAGAAAGCCCTCCTGCCACAGCCATACAATCAAGGGTGGACAGAGACACCCACTCTCCCCTCCCGCCCCCCCTCAGCACCTCCCTTATCTCTCTCTCCCAGCTATGCTTCTCACAAAGAGCAAAAGAGAGAAGGAAGTGGACAACAGAGATGGAGAGAAGGAGAGACAGGGTGGGGAAAAGCTGGGGTGGGGGGCGGAGGAGGTACATCTTACCAGTAGTGAGCAGACAATTCCTGTGGCAAAACACGCAATGAAACCTTTTATTCTGGTACTCCAGCTTAATGAAGATGCCTCAACAACCTGAAATTTTTAAAAAACTGATTACATACATGTATACGCATATCTGAGCACCAAAAACAATGAGATTTAGTAATGAGATGTAGTGTGTGAGTCTGTGCTGAGGGAGGCAGGAGCAAAGAATCCGACTCACTCACTCAGAGCTACAGGAGCCCTTGAGTCATGGAATCCAGCTCCTTATCCATCCATGAATCTTCTCCAGCAGCGGCTAAGAGGTTACTGAGCCTCTAGATGAACGTCCCCAGAGGTGGAAACTCTCCACCTGAAGCACAACCACTTCACACACAGTAAGGCAAGATAGTAGGCCCTAGAGAAGCCAGAACCCTTGCCACAGCCGAGGCAGGACAAGGACAACTGCACAGGCACAACCACCCGCCAGGCAGGGGCCCAGCAAGCGGGGGCAAGACAGCAGACAGCAGCATCTCTGAGAGCCCAAAGGATTAACAGCTGTCATCTGTGCCGGGGCTTTCAGCAGAATCTATTCACTTCTGGCACCAGCCAAGTCACCCAAGTGGGAGACAAATCCTAGTTAATTCATTACTGCCCCACTCATCTGACTGTAATTAATCCCTCCCCAGAGCAAAGTTCAGAGGATGCCAAGATTTCCCAAAACAGCTCTGCTAAAACAGGGCAGCCTGCAAGTAGCCCCCACGAGTTTTTCCCCGATGTGTAGAGAACTTAGGCAAGAGACCTTCCTAGTCTGTCCACCTCATGAAAGGGGCCATGGCTGCTTGGCCATGCCAAGCTGGGGACAAGCAGCTGCCACTGAGACTGCAGGTCCTGCCTAGCCAGCCAGTGTATTCACACAAGGTTCACCTTGTCTGGCGCCCCAGTCTCCATCTCGCAATGAGAGAAAGCTGCCAGAAAACACTCCCACCGGCTCAAGAAGGAAAGTGGTAGCAGAAGCTGCAAGGGCTGCTGGACCGGCAACTCCTTCAGCCCTGACTGTTCCCAGCTCAGGGACTGTTCTCAACCGTGTCTCCAAACTTCCTACCAAACTAGAAGCTTGAAGAGAAGGACCAGTGGCTCTCCCAGGAGTGGCCAGCATTGCTACAGAATGGCTTCATTTCTTCGGAAGAAAGGTAGTATTCAGGGCAGGTTATCAAAACAGCTTTTCCTCCAACTATATATAGTCACATATTTTTGTTTCGTTTTAAGAAAGGGAGAGGGGGACAGACAGAAGGAGCAATAGAGGACCTTCAGCAGGCTCCACGCCTAGCACAGAGCCTGACACAGGGCTCACTCTCACAACCCTGAGATCATAATATGAGCCAAAATCACAAGTCGGATGCCTCACCGACTAAGCTACCCAGGCGCACCTCTATTCACACATATTTAAAGGGGGTTCATGACACTGCAGTTCCCCATCACACACACAGCACTTGCAGAAGCATGTGGCACCAATGGACACTGCACAGAAAGGCACCACTGGGGATGGTAACACACAGTAGGAACAGGACATCAGGACCTCACAGATGGGCCACCCGCTTCCACGTTGAGGAAAACCCCTCCTCCAAAATGAGGAACATGGTGCCCTGTCACCAGGCTGGACAGGCACCTGGACAATCAGGTCAGACTTCTAACATATTCAAGCTGCCATCAAGAAGAAAATAAAATCAGAAGACACCACTCTTCCTACTCATGCAAGAAACAAAGAGCTTACTTTGCCAAGGTAGAAAGTAAGAACTGACCTGCGCACAGGGAGACAAGTGTGGCAACAGAACTGGATTAGATTCATGGCTCGAGCACTATTTGGCATCAGGAGGGATATTTTAAGAGGATAAACCATAAGGTTAAGTGTCAAGTTTGAGGTGGCCTTGGCATTTAGAGTACTAAAAGGTCTCAACAGGACAGTGAGATTCCAGTCCTCATAAAGATCAAGCTGACACAAGGAAAAAGCAGTTCTGGTTTCTTCCTTCAGAAAGGAAAGTGACATGTTGATTCTACAAGTCCCTCAAGCTGAATTTCCATCCACACGTCATCCTACTTGGCAAAATGGGGGGAGAGGGACAGATAAACTATTCATCCGTGTGCTTTCCCACCCAGCGTCACTGCAAGTCTTTTACACGCTTGGTCACAGCAAGAGGAAAGTGCTGTTCCACTTCTTCCAACTGGTCTCAGTGAGAGCTAAGCACTCCTTTTCGCCAATTTACAAAAATGAACTCAGTTGATAGAAAATGCCTCTCTAAATTCATGGCTGCTGGAAACTGTGCTGGGGCACTTTCTGGAAAGTAGAGAGGCTAAAATAGTACCTGGATAGAATTTACAGGCAATCTGCACACAAGCTGTCTGATTGGAGGTTAGGAACAAAGGTCCCTTTGACTCTGGGATGTAGAGAGAAGAAAGGTTCTTGCCAAAATGAAGGAAAGCTAAGAACTGTTTGAGGAAAAAGGGCTGATAACCAGAAGAAGGTGAGAAAGGAATCTGCTTCATTCCCGGGCTTTCAAACCAGGTCCCACTCATTCCTTCCTCATCCCTGGAATTCTTTATGGCAAATATAAAACCTATACTTTTAAAAATAAGCCCACTAAAACTAAAGGTTGAAGGCATATTTATGACGGTGAGGTATCAATTAAAAACCTCGTCATAAGGCTCTTCGTGATGAAGCACTGCCAAGCAGTTTTTATACCTAGTTTCCTGTGTAGGAGAAACGGAACTAGTCATGCTTTTATTGTTCACATTAAAAGAATAAAAATTTGAAAAGCACTCATTTATGGTGCCTTCTGACAACTTCAACAATTTTATTTGAAGAGCCTGTATGGCCACGTAGCCCAGCTTACAAAACAGAAATTTCAGCACACAGCTCTCCAGCTTTGCCAACTTCAAGCCATGGGAAATGTGAGACAATCGAATCAATACCAACAATTTAAAGGAAGCCCAAATTAGTAAAAATCAAGCCAAAAACAATCCTGAAAATGAATTCAGCCAGCTACAAAACGTTTCCCAGGAGTCTGGGACTCAGGAAATGGCTACAATGATGTATGTAAACTGGAAATCACACCCAGAAAGAGGAAACAGACAACACTACTTCGGAACAAGAGAGCAGCACCCACTCTTTTTTTAAACAGATTTAAGAGGTGGCTGAGCTTACAACACTTTAAAGCCCTTCACTATGTCCAACACAGGCATGCACCATTTTAGGCTTAAAAAAAAAAAAACTCAGCATTTATATTTTCAGTCTGTACTAATCACTCATTCTTAAGGGTCTGCCTCATGATTATTTTCTAAATATATAATATCTGCATCATCTGTCAACACTCCTCCCCCAAGCGTCTTCAGGATGATAAAGTGTCTCCTTCTTGAACCCTAGCTGCTCATAAAAGCGTGATGAATGACAGTCCACAGGGCATAATGCTTTCAGATACAAATGACTGTCAACTACCGGAGTTCTCTTAGGCTGGGCCTGGGGTTTGACTTCACAGTTCATAACAGAAGCCAGAAACCAAAACCAAAACAATTCATGAAATTACTCCTGAGCCTTGACCAATTACAAAGAACCCACAGAGCTATTTTGAAATGTTAAAAAAAAAAAAAAAAAAAAAGATAAACTCCAATTCCTGTAATACTCAATTCAGTTCCTATAGCGTTACTTCTTCAAGATGAAGATTCAGAGAGTAAGCTTCGGAGTTCTGAGATTTCACGGAGGAGGTGAAGGTATCAGTGTCACACAAAATGCAGAAGGAATCAGCAACCGCAAAAGCGGGTGAAAGCAGCTTGCTGAGAACAAACCGCGAGAGACACCGATTCAGGTTGGGAGGAAAACCTGGGCTTCGAGCTGAAAGAAGCCTTAACGTTTCGTTCAACACCTTCAGTTTATATCTGGGGAACCTGAGGCCCATGGAACGCACACCCCAAAGTAAAATGTCATTTTGTCATCCAGAAAGGAAAACAAACACAAAGGCGAAAAAAAGCACTGGAAATAGTAAGTGAACATTCTGCGTGGCTCTAGAACACAGGGCCCGAGTGCCCAGGTTCCAGGTGGGCCCGGCCCTCTCACGCAGCAGGCCCACAAACGCGCGGGCCGTCTCTCCAGGTCCCGGGCAGACGGCGGGCTCAGGGGAACCAGAGCGGGCCCTGCCCTCCAGGAGTTCCCGGTTCGGCGGCGGAGACGCGTCACAACGACAACAGGTGCCCAAGGTCGGGCGGGAGTGTCACAGCCACAGCTAAGCGCCGCCGGAGCGGACAGCGGGCAGGGGAAGCTGCGGCCCCCCGCCCGGCCCCGGCTACCTACCGGGACGCGGGCCCCCTCCGCCAGGCTCCCGTTCCCGGGGCGGCGCCGCCCTCCCGAGTGGGCCGCTCGGGCGGGGACGGCAGAGGGGCGCGGGGCAACACCGCCCGGGGCGCAGGGCCGGGAGCGCGGCACCTGCGAGAGGCGCGGGGAGGACCCGCGGGGGGGGGGCGCACGCGGAGGACCCGCGGAGGGGGGGCGCACGGGGAGGGCGCACGGGGAGGACCCGCGGGGGGGCACATGGGGAGGACCCGCGGGGGGGCACACGGGGGGGCGCACGGGGAGGACCCGCGGGGGGGCACACGGGGGGGGCACACGGGGAGGGCGCGCGCACGGAGGGGGGCGCACGGGGAGGACCCGCGGGGGGGGGCGCACGGGGAGGGCGCACGGGGAGGACCCGCGGGGGGGCGCATGGGGAGGACCCGCGGGGGGGCACACGGGGGGGGCGCACGGGGAGGACCCGCGGGGGGGTTCACACGGGGGGGGCGTACGGGGAGGGCGCACGGAGGGGGGGGCGCGGGGACGGAGCGGCGCACGGCGAGGGGGTGGCGCACGGGGACCGCGCCGCTTTCCAGGAAAAGCCTGGAAGCCCCGCCCGGCCCCCGCGGGCCCGCAGCCAGCGCGCTCACCTCGGCCAGGCCGCCCCGGTCCTCGGTGTCCTGGCCGCTCAGCACCTTCTTCAACTTGTCCATCCCGGGCCGGGTCCGCACGGCGCAGCCCCGCTCGGCCGCCTGTTGCGCCTGTTGCGCCCGCGGAGTCGGCGGCTCTTCCGGGTGCCCGGGCCGCCCCCGCCGCCGCCGCCCGCCAACCACGGCGCGCCCCGCCCAGGTACCTGCCCACCTGGCGGCCGCCCGCGCAGGCGCCCCGCGGCTCCCGGGCCGACTGCGGGGGGGGGGGGGGAGGCGGGGCGGGGGTCGGCCCCGCCTGGAGCTGCTCCCGCGCGGAGGTCCAAGCCGGACACGCCCCCTTCCCGGCCCTTCGGGGCTCGGTCCACCCACGCTGCGTCCCTTCCTGGCGTCGGAGTGTCTTTCTCCTTAACGCTGCCGCACAGCCTGCTGTAGATTGAACTTTCTCCAGGTGGCTTCCAGTGAAACGATTTTTTTTTTTTAAATCACTTGTGACCTTAGTCTAGACCGAGCTACTGTGATCCCAACTGAAAATGCTGCTAGAGGTGTGATCTGGGCAAAAACTTGAAGAACTTGGGTGAGGGCGTGGGGAAAGGCCTAGTAGCCTGCGGAGCTGCCCCGGAACCGGCTCCTGCGCCGATGGTCCCCCGCTGGAGAATCCGGGTGGCCCGTAGCCCCCAGGACAGGCCCGGAGGCAGCACGCAGGCTCGCATCTCGGGCCGCTGCCCGGGAATGCCTGGGAAGCTAACTTCAAGATTAGCGGCTCAGAAAAGCAAATCCACAGTGAGGTTGCCGGGAGCGCACGCTGGAGAATCTCCCCCGCTGCTGGCCCCCAACAACCCCCCCCCCCAACACACACACACACACAACACTTGTGAAAGAGTAAGAATGTGTGTCTGGGTGGAGAGAATTGAGATGTTACCAAGCACTTGGTCCTGTTAGGAATTATAAATCAACCAGGCAAAGGGATTTGCTCGGGACCCTATTCAAGTCACTCAGATGGCTGTAGTTACACCCCTTGTCATCTGTGATTTCATCTGTATGGAGACTCAAACCTGCTTAGGCATGATTCTAGTTTACGTCTCAGATCTCCAATAACAAATGCTGTTGTGTTTTCCCTGTTGATCCTTACCCCCCTTGTTCCACTCAGGTAAATTCCGACACATCCTTCGAGACTCCTCAAATACCCAGGCAGAGTGGGAAGTTCATCCATCGTGAAGTTAGGAAGATCTGGGAGTTGGAACGATATAACCATCACTTACCAGCAATGTGGAATTGAACAAGTTCCTTAACCTTTCTGGTCCTCAATATTCTCGTCTGTAAAATGGACATGAATGACTACCTCTGAAAGTTTTTGTGCGAAGTACACGTGGCGGCATGCAAGGAGAGCCTGGAACACGGTAGGCATTCTGTGGCATCTAATGGAAGCCCGTACTCCTCTACTATCTCCTCTGAAGCCTTCTCCAGCTCAGCCCACACTGACAGGGCAGTTGCTCCATCCTCTGTGCTCCCACCACATTTTAAATCTCACACTATTACCATTATTCATGTTCAAGTGTCTCCTTGTCCTCACGGTTCCATGCATTCTTTATCCTGACAACCCAGAAAAGCACCTAGAAAATAGTGCTCAGTAAATACCATTAAGTGAAAGAAGGAAGGAGGGAAGGAGAAACTTCATGAATGCTTTTGCAGTTGTGTGAATTGTAACAGATTGACAGGAAGGGCAACATTTAGAAAACAAATCCACCTGTCATATCCTTCCACTGAGGCACCTTGAATGCAATAGATGCTTATATAACAACATGCCGTTTCCTGGCAGCACCAAGTCTCCATTTTTCTGTTTCTCTAATACAAAATTCCAGAGGTACTCCCAAAAATTAGTGCAGAAATTGCAACGGTTCACAGAGGCTAAGAAATATTTTTCATTATTAAACACTTCATATTACTCTCTAATGTGTATATATGTATGTCTAGGTATAACATACATGGAATGTGGTACTAATTCAAAGACATGGAAACAAATAGCTTTTTCATAATAACATTTAAAAAGATTTCATTACATTTTCAAAGTCAAAAAATTTAACTGTAAATACTTGAAATTTAATTTTTAACATGTTAATTATAAATTATATTTCTTTCCTTTAACTTTTGTGGATGATTTTTAATATTTTAGAAAAATAGCTCTTGAAAACTTAAAAAATAGCTTTGGGGGCACCTGAGTGGCTCAGTCGGTTAAGCCTCTGCCTTCAGCTCAGGTCATGATCCTGGATTCTGGGATGCAGCCCTGAGTCAGACTCCCTGCTCAATGGGCAGCCTGCTTCTCTCTCTCCCCTGCTCATTCTCTCTCTCTCAAATAAATAAAATCTTTTTATAAAAAATAGCTTTTGGGGCGCCTGGGTGGCTCAGTGGTTGAGCGTCTGCCTTCTGCTCAGGGCATGATCCAGAGGTCCAGCATCAGGTCCAGCATCAGGCTCTCTGCAGGAAGCCTGCTTCTCCCTCTGCCTATATCTCTGCCTCTCTCTGTGTGTCTCTCATTAAAAAATAAATAGGGCAGCCCTGGTGGTGCAGCGGTTTAGCGCCGCCTGCAGCCCAGGGCGTGATCCTGGAGGCCTGTGATGGAGTCCCAGGTTGGGCTCCCTGCATGGAGCCCGCTTCTCCCTCTGCCTGTCTCTCTCTCTCTGAATGAATGAATAAATGAATAAATAAATAAATAAATCTTTTAAAAAATAAATAAAATATTTTTAAAAAATAAAAATAAATCATAGCTTTTTTTTAAAACTTTTTTTTTTATTTTTTATTTATTTATGATAGTCACACAGAATGAGAGAGAGAAAGAGGCAGAGACACAGGCAGAGGGAGAAGCAGGCTCCATGCACCGGGAGCCCGACGTGGGATTCGATCCTGGGTCTCCAGGATCGCGCCCTGGGCCAAAGGCAGGCGCTAAACCGCTGCGCCACCCAGGGATCCCTAAATCATAGCTTTTATTTTAAAATTGAATTTATATTACTATAATATAGTCTAACTTGGTAATAACAATTGATATTTGTCATCTTTGATATTTTTCCAATTTTTAGTCATATAAAAGCCATACCTATTTGTCAATGTAGGAGGATCAAACATAATTTATTGAACAACTGTTTAGCTTGATTTACAGCTTTTAAGGATTTAGGCATCTGACATAGGGGCTCCCATTTTTTCTGTTTCCCAGGCCTGGTCAAAGAACTTGGGTTGCCTAGGTGAAAATGTTAGCTTAGTTCTAGATGTAAAAAGACAGAGATTTTGTTTCCAAATAGGAGAAAATCAAGCCTACCACCAAAGCATCAGTGAACAGATTTTCTGTTTAGTAGTGATGAAATTACCAGAACAGGAGATTTACAGACCCTGTAGCCCAGGCAGCTGTGTCTATAGCAGAGCTCTTAATGCAGGCTCTCAGCCTGATGTGGAAGGGAGAGGCAGCTCTGCATGAGGCAGGATGTGAGCGTGTGTGGACCTTACTGCAGGGAAAGCCTGGTTCTGGTCCCTTTTCCCAGGGAGATCACTCCAGGTCCCCTCTCCAGGGCAGCCTCCCTGTCTCCCCACTGACTTAGCCTCACATAGTCATTCATTCCTTCCACACTGATTGAGCACCTACTGAATACCTGGCACAATACCAGATGTTTGACATGCAGATGTAGAACTAACCGGACATTATCCTTGCCTTCAAGGAACATTAGAGACCAACCTCCTTTCCTCCTGGAAAGAGGAGGGAAGCACTTTGAGTTGTTCTCGGGACTAGAAGAGGAAAGGAGACAAAATATTAGGATTTGCACTGGAGCCAATTTTACTAGTTCTGCAGCTATGCTAGTAGTTATATAATGTCTGAGGAACATTACACGTGACCATCTTAAAACCTTCTCTTTCTCTTGTTCTCAAGGTTGCAAATTCATTCTTTTTGTCTGTCTGTAATTCGCTTTGAAAACATTTATTGAATGTTATGTGCCAATGAAGAAATATTCAGTTTCTGCTGTCAAGGTGGATAAAGTCACAAATGCCAGTCTGTGGTGACGTTTGGCCATTTTATCAGGGAAATGAAAAAAAGACTAAAATAATGCCACAGTACATGGCACAGATAGATGAATGCTTAGGAAATATTTAATATGAGGTATATGACAAGCTGTAATGCATGCGTGTTGATATAATATGCACATGTGGGAAGAATTGTTCTTTTTTCTGTAAAATCTGTTGATTTTCTGGAATGATAATGATAGGAAAATGTAGGGCTTTCTTTTCATATTCTTAGCATAATAAATATTTTGGTCTTCCATAACTCTGTTCATGTGCCTTGCCCTGATACTTCAGTGAGCTGCATACATAGTATGGTAAAATGTCAAAGTATTAGTTGTTACGTTGTGAAAACTACATCTGTGACGTCCATAAGTCTGAGAAGCAGTGGTCCCATGAGCCCGTCTCAACAACCAGTTCTTTAGCTTCCTTTCTTTTTCCCAAACCTAGAATGGGTATTTCTCAAGGCTGAGTTGTCTACCCTCTATTTTCTCTCTTTACACACTCGCCTTCGGAAAGCTTATTCCTTCCAGGGTTTCAACAACAACACATTTCTCCAGGCCTTTACAACTTACAAAATCCTTTAGACCTTTATCCCCAGGCATCAGAGGACATGGGTTTAAATTCTAGACTTCTCCATTTATTAGTGACCGTGGAAAAGTTATTTAATCTTTCTAACACTTGTTTTTTTCATTTATAAAAGGAGAATATTAGTAATACCTGCTCATAGAGTCTTATGGGAAGTGAATGAGATAATGAGTATAATGAGTATAAAATGCATAGCATATCTTTTCAACAAATGATGCTGGGACAGCTGGAGATCCATGTAAGACAGAATGACACTGAACCACTTTCCTACACCATAAGCAAATATATATCAACTGATGAATGGATAAACAAAGTGTGGTAATTCCATACAATGAAATATTATTCTTCAATAAAAAGGAATGGAATAATGACAATTGTTACAACATGGATCAACCTTGAAAACGTTGTGCTAAAGGAAAGAAGCCACACATAAAAGACCACATATTGTATGATTTCATCTGTATGAGATGCCCATAATGGGCAAATCCAGAGACAAGAAGTAAATGTGGTTTCCACCGTTTGGGGGCAG